TTTGCTTCATCTTTTACAGGAGAGTTTGCTATTTATTATGAGGCCGAGGTAGTTTGCTTTTTTGACTATGGGTATTTGGATATTGAACATTTTTGGTTTGCATTGTGGTAATATTTTTATTCTTCTTCTTTGTATAATTTGGATTTGAGATTTATCTGCATTTACAGTAATTTTCCATTCAACGCTCCAGTTTTCTATTTGTGAAATTTTTCCTTTCAAAGTTCTGTTGTTGTTGTTGTTACTTATCCTCTAATTGTCTGACGAGGTCAGACAAGATCCAGTAGGTTGTTGACCCTCAAAAAGTCAATTACAAGAAGTGGAGAAGCATATAAGTCCTCCTTGGAAAGGCCCAAGCAGTCAAGGATATGTTCGGCTGAGGCCTGCTGGGCTTCACATTTGGAGCAGACTGCATAAGTCTTTCTTCCTTCAAAGTACGAGAGACTATTCGTGTGTCCACTTGCCAATCTGGAAATAGCTGTTTGAGATGCTCTATCACCTATATGAACAAGTGAAGAGCCCGGTTCCTTGGCCGCATACCAATGATGAGAGGGGGGGATCCTCCACTTTTTTGATAGATGGAAAGTTCTATATACGTCAACTAGGTGCATTCTAGGTGCATATCTAATTCATTGATTATTTATTTTCATTGTCTTCAATTTTCTATTTTGCAAATTATAATAATATTCAGAATTTTTAGTGGAATAATTAGTAACTGCATCGGTATTCATTAAAAAATAGAGGAATGAATCACATACATAATATTTCGATATTTTAACAAGTATTTTAAAGAAATCCGAATTCGTCTCAATTTAATAAAAATTCTATCTAATAATCTCTTATTGATAAATTAATATTCGTATGATTTCCTGATATTTTTTCGTACTAAATAAACTTTTAATGGTCTAGTATTATTAGACAGCACAATAGCTTTCGAAAAAGATAGAGAATAAAGGGTTTTAGATTAGGAGAAACAACGCATCAGAATTTTCAGAACTTCTGTGAATTTTCCTCGAAGCATTAAAGCAATAAAATGATGCGATTTGTGGTTTTGAGAAAGTAAATTTATAACCTTTGTTGAACAGCCGATCTAATTTTGGTTTACTACTAATATTGTTTAACTCCTAATTCTTGTAATTTTGAACCCAATCCAGAAGACACGGGAACTCCAGGATCAAGTATAGGGAGAAAGTTTGCCGTCGTGGAATTTTTGGGGCAACTAACCCCTGTTTGCGTTGCATGGAGAGGAAAACCATGATAACCTGCCACGGTACAGCTATGAAAATCTGACTGCAAGGGACTCTAACCCATGATCTGTCTGAGTTTTATATTACTTAATTAATTTTAATTATTATATTATTTAATTATAATATTTTACGTCATCACTGTGGTCGGTGCGAGCCGAGTACGGCATGCGTATCAACCAGCTATCGCTGGGATTCGAACCTGGCTCACCCCATTGGAACGCTCGATTCCCTGAGCCATCAAGGCTCTGAGAATGTAATTTAAAACTACATGTTTTTTCTCACTTTTCAGATTTTTAAAAATCTAATAACATTGCTGTTCAAACTGATGAAAAGCGATTTAGTTGACGCTAAAAATTTCCTTTAACGTTAATTGCATAAAAATAAAAGGTGCTAATCACAATTCTAAAAACTAACATCTGTTAACAATTTAAATATCTCTAAAAAACAGTTGAATGCAGAAAATTGTATTAATTATTAATGCAATTCTGCAAATAAGAATTGTATAGATCATTGGCTAATTCTGTTCGAAAAAATTAATAGGTCATCTAAAATACCGCACGCTTTATACCTCAAATTCTGTTTGGGTGACGGAGTTATATTTTATATGTATCGAAATTTAGTGTCAAAAAGAATAAATATCCGTCACCAGTATTTGTGAAAATTAAATGAAAAGGATTAAAAGCATATTTAAAAGATTTCTAGTTAATTCAAAGGTTGCATTCAAGATTCGTCCTAGGAGGATTCATGTCCTTTTCATCAACACAATTTCAGTTGTGCGTAATTTCTTAAGAGGCATTTTAATGATGTATATTTATTATTTTCTTTCTTCTTTTCTTTTCTTTCTTCGCTACTTACAACTAACTGTTTCTAAAAATAAAACTCTACCAGTTTTTATGTATAAAATTATTTTTCAGTATTTTCTGTCCTCCTAAATTCTATAATTGGCTAACTCATCCGCTACTATGAAATCGATATTTAAAAAGCTCTTGGGTTTACGAGTTGTAAAAAACTTGTTCTCACAGGGGCGTGTATTTAAATACAAAATCGTTACGGAAGTCATAGTCCTACGGCAGTTTTAAATTCTTAAAAAATCAATAAACGACGTTACCACCAGGACGGCCCAAATGACAAATATTATAAGATTGGACAGCACGGTGGAGGCACTTCCATTCTTATTCATATTTTCACAAGAACCAAAGGTACCCGTAGACCTCTTTTCGGGGGGGGGGAAANGGGGTGAAACTAGGAAAGCATATAATATTTGAAAATTTATCAACACATTTTTTTATTATAAAGATAATTTTAATAGGGCCAATCAGAAATTTTTATCAATTTGATAATCATTTAAAATTATGCACTAAAAGAACAATCTTTGCAAAAAAATAATAAAAAACATACACTTCTTGCCTCAAATTTCAACCGAATAATTTAAAATTATATTAATAATCACGATGACGATAATACAAATATTTCAGATCTTGAGATAATGTTTAACGTCTTAGTTTAAAGAAAATTGCGATTGCGTCAGATATCATACCCTCCCTTACATTTTTATGTAAATAAATCAACAATTAATGCAGTGCTTTCCAAACTTTTTGTACCTGCGCCCCCCTCTTTGGAAAAAAAATTTGTTGTGCCCCCCTTAATTTTTCTAACAATCCAATTTCATAAACACTCATCTGATATTGTAATTTATTTAATGGGCTACAAAATAATATACAATATTATGTATAAAAATACATAAAAAATNTATATATATATATATATATATATATCTTGCTAACTCACAGTCACAGGGGCATTTTAAATTGCCTTGATTGACAGACAAGTGATGATTTGTACCCATCAAATTTGAAAAATTATTTGTGTTAGAACCCTTCTTCTTTACTAAACTAACGGTAAAAGTAGTTGCAAGAATTGCTAGAAAGTACTTTTTTTTTTGTATTGCACTACTCACTACATTATTTAATATATATATATATGTGTGTGTGTGTGTGTGTGTGGAGCTGTTGTTACAGTATTATAGTGTAATAGCTGCGAAGATTACATCATCACTCTTTGTCACGTAATACTTAAAGATAGTTGCATCATCCTTTTTGTGATTGAGAGGCGCCAGCCAGTCCTGACGGGGAAGTCCCGATGGGAAACTCCCGAATTTATAATTAACTCTTGACTTTATACCATCGAACAATCTTCTTCTTAGTCACATGCATTCCGGAGACCACTGCGCGAAGGCAGCTCTCACGAGTCATGTCGATAACGTTAACTGTTATATCCTTCTATCCTTTTTATTTCTATTAAATTGTTATGTTTGTTAAATTATCGACGTTATTCGCTCCTATGCTGCACTAAGTCCCATATATATATAGCACACTACACTATAAATTAGAATAAAAGTAGCGACTGCAGTATTTTCACTACTTGTAGTTCGCTACTTCCAACCACTAATTTATTGTTAATGTTAATATAAATAAGAATAGTTTAACGAGTCAAAAAATTTAACCACGAAACATGTTGTACATTCCACAATCGGAACTAAAAAGACTTTTCTACAGATCAAATTAAAACACACGAACGTTTTTTATGCCACTTTCAAGTGAGATTTGTCTTTCGGAAACAAAAGTGGAAGTGAGTAATTTTTTCTGAAGGAGTTAGAACAGTAGAAGAAAAAATGCCTTGTAGTTCAACATAGCATCTATTACTACTGCTCAAACTTCAGAATAGTTCAATTTTCTAATGTTTACCAGAAATTTAATTCCTGAGATTGAAAATTCGTACAATCCTGATAACAATAAATTAAGTCTGATTCATTTAGACATGTTTTAATTGAAAGCTACTTCACTTTTATGTCGCTACTTTGAATGTGCCTTCTCTGTAAACTGCACTTTAAAAAGAAAAAAAAATGGTGCAAATACGTGAATATTTTGAATCAACTATACATGCAGAAAAACAACCCTGGACACATCCGTCACTGTCTAGATGGTTATTAAGAAAGAAAGATCAAGACCTTCATATATAAAGTTAGCTCAATCCTTGTGAGAATTAGGGGAAAAAAGTGAAAAATAGTTATATTAATCTTGAAATGTTCTTGTCTGCGAGTTAAAAATCAAACAGTTTAATTCCAGACATAAATATACTTTTCAAATTATTCAAACGTCGCTATATTAAAAGATTTACTTAAATTATGTTTAAGAAAGATGTCTGCGTTCGGCTGGCAACCAAACCGGAACATTTGGTACTGCACACCAAAGCCCAAGGTCTAGAAAACTGGGATGGGCACAGCAAACTTTGCACCTCCATGGCTGTCGTGCCATTGAGTTTAGTTATGCTTATAATTAGTTGAATTATTCGGTAAATAGATACTGTGTAAAAATCAATGCTTTGTTCTAAAAGCATTTTATTTTTTCTTCTACGAGAAAAAAATTACGCACTTGCTATTAGTTCAACAGATATCCTATATCTCTCTTGAATATGTCATCGGGGAAAAATTCCTTGGTGAAAAATCTCTCGAAACTCTATTTTTGGGACATTTAAAAGTCTGTCTAATAAATATATTCTTTGATTCATTAGATGCAAAAAACTTGACGTAAAACTTACAAGATTAATGCAGGTTTTAAACTTGTTCAAATAGAAAAAAAAAGTTTCACATTTAGCAGGTAATAAATATTAGGTGTACACATAAATAAGCTGGGAAAAAAAAGCGTAAATATGGGAGTATGTCTTAAAATACATATTCTACAATTATCACACATCGGAGTTGGTTTATGAAAAGTTTTTAATATACTTTCATGTCTTATAAATTAACATCAATTTGAATAATTGTTGCAATTTCTAACAATACTATTTTAAATAAATAATAGGAACATTCTTTCACAATTTGGGCACACAGAATGGAGCTGCAATGGACACAATGAAGCGAATAAAAACTCCCAATTATCCACGAAGCGTGTTAGCCGCGGATAAACAAAGTCAGCAAATGATTTAAAAAAATTTCCTATGTTTATTTTAAAATATAAAGGCCGTTTTTCAAAAGCTCTGTAGTCGCATGAAATGTTTTTTTCCCCCGTATAATATGTTATTTTCCTAATTGTTGTGAGTTTGTAACAGTTACTCATAACTGTTAGATCGAGTTTAGCCTATCTTTCATCAGCGCCCTCTGTGAATGAAGCAATCATCTGAAAATGAAGCAAAACGTCAATATGGAGAAAAGCCACAGTTTTGAGGGGGAAAAAAAACGTTTGTGGTCTTATTCTTTAGTATATAAAAATTTACTCCAATGCTGTGCTATCTGGGCTCATAAAAATTTTCAAAAAAAGAGGAAAAGGCATTGATTTTGATACCTTTCATCTAGGTAGATAAATATCGCCAAATTGGCGATTTTTAAAAAAGTTTAAAAAAAATTTTCAGATAATAAAAAAAAATTATTTAGGCTATTTGTCCGTTCTAAACACCTGATAATTCTTGTAGATGTCATATATAGTTTAAAATTATAACTTTGCTTCAAGTGTAAGGCACTTGAACTGTGGCTTTTTTTTATTTTCCATGGCGAAAGAGCTACGAAACACCATGTTATTACTGATTTTGCGTCATTTTACAAGGAAAAAAAATGAAAGAAAGACTGCGAGGTATTCAGACTATTTTCGCGCGTACTGAAAATCAGGGAACAGAATACCACATGGACAAACAATTCTACAGATTAAACTGTAATATATACTAATTAACGAAATACTAAATATAGTATTAAAAACGGGTATTTCCTTTAGCATTTTGTATGCAACGAATCAGTCTTAATCGCGAATAATCGGGAGTTAATATTAAAAACGTTTAAAATAAATACGAATTGTTGTCTCGAAATACTTCCTCGTTCATGATGTTCCTTCTACTGTCGATTTTAAGAGAAGGTAGCAACCAAATTGCTTATGGCAATGATAGGATTGGACCAGCAGACTGCTTTCTTCTGTGGACAAGAGAAACGACTGACACACTTTGCAAACAGGCGATCACATTCACACAGCTGGAATGCACAACGATTCATTGATGGATTTCCATATTGTCCACCCACTATAAAACATAATAATAGGAGAAAAAAATGTAAATTTATTAGTTCAAGCATAAATATAATTATTCCTTCTTATTAAGTAACAAATAAAAGGATATGTAAGCATACTAGCTAATGAGAGGCTTACGAGAACTGAAATGTTTTTAGTTGGGACCAGTTTTGGGGCCTTTTAAATATTACGAAAAAAACTAAAGGGGGTTGAGTGTTTATGATTTAATTATTTTTATTAACAAGGAGGGAGTTAGTAAGACATAACAACCTTCTTTAATTCAAAATATTACTGATAAGCAAAATGAAAAGTGAAACGAAAAAAATATATTTGGAAAAAATTTAAATTTGATATAAAAGTTGAATTTAGGGACAAAATTTAAAAAAATTTCTTTAAAGAGATTTAGAGATCAATAGTATGGAACCAAAAAAGAAAACATAAAAATGTTCCAAAGAATATTCCATTCTAAATTTTATAAATTTTTATAAAACTCAAATTTTGATTTGCACAAAGTTACATCTTTCATTTAAATTTATTCCTAAAATAGATTACTACGTAAGCATGGGAGAGGGTATGTGATTTTCTTATTTTGATAACAAGGGGTGAGGAGAAGATCAAAATAGTTAAAAGTATGCTTCCTTAAAAGTTGAATCGCCCATTTTGCTACTTACGACATGAATTTCAATGGCATGTACCCATGAAGCATTTGCTATTGATTGTTTCGCATTTTCCCAAAATCTTGGAAAATTATTATGATTCAATAGCTTATGTGATTCGCCACTTTGTTACAGACAATTTATATTGAATTGCTTCCTTTCTTTTGGTTATAAGTTGCATTAAAAATCAACTTATTAATCCCATTTTAGACAGGTCACGCTGAAGTTGCTGGAATTCTTGTAATGTTTAGCAAAGCATTATTTGGCTATTTGTGTTGGGTGACAATAGTGAAACTATGAATTACCGTAGCAGTGGTGCTCTAATGAGACCATAGAAAATATCCTGGCTCATGCCAAAAATAACGGCACGACTGACTTACGGTTTAGTATCGAAGCCAAAAATAAATTTTATGCTATGCCCCAGACTACCCCGATACGCCTTAAAGCAGACGCTTCATTCACTTCTGTAGCGATCAAAGTAATAAAAAGCATACGTTTTTAAAGAAATGAGTCGCTGTAAAAATATTTTATAAGTCCCAGTATCGGCTAAATGACTTTTTTTAATGTATTATAACAAAATCTATTCTCCGATAGAAACTTTCCAATAGAAATTCCAGTTTCAGACATTAGTAAAGAATTCAACTCCCGAAATTCGCCAGTTCTCGAATAAATGGAAAGCGTCAGCAACGTCTAGGTACCGGTTATTAATCATTAACATCCCGGAGAATATCTTTAAAATATCTCTGTAGAGACCGATATAATCGCAATAAAAAAAGCCTTCCTTCAATATAATGATCGGTTGTGGTGACTCAGGGGGATAGAGCGTTCGCCTTCCAATGAGGTGAACCGGATTCGAATCCCAGCGATAGCTGGTCGGTGCACATGCCGCATTCGGCTTGCAACGACCACAGGGCTGACGTAAAATATCCTCAGCGGTAGACGGATTATGGGTAAGAGTCCCCTTGCGTCAGGCTAATCGTGCGAGATTTTCCTCTCCATATAAAGCGAATGCAGGTTAGTTCCATCAAAAAAGTCCTCCATGAAGGCAAATTTCTCCCAATATCCTCTCCAGGAGTTTCTTTGTTTTCTGGATTGGGTTCAAAATTACAAGACTACTGAGTTCAACATTAATAGTCGTAAACACAAAAGTGGGTCGGCTGTTTAACGACTGTTATAAAATAAAATACTCTTATCGGCTAAATTTTAGGAATAAACTTACCCTCCAATAGGATCATGAATCCCCCCCCCCCAACCTTAGAGGCGGTACTCCCTAAGCCAGTGTTTCCCAAAGTGTGGTAGGCGTACCTCCAGGGGTACGGGAACAGTTTAGTGGGGGTACGCGTTCTTATGCGAAATATCTTGCAACAAACGAGAATTTCACAAAATTTTATTTAAAAACAAAGCTAGCCATGAAAATTTATGATTCCGTATTTTTCTATTGGCCATTTTTTGCAGAGTTAACAGTTAATAATTAGGGGTATCAACAGCCAGTTGTGATTTTTAACTTTTGTGCAATTTTTTTACAGTGAAAAATACATTAATTTTGTATTAGTGGTACACAGCGTTACGAAAAATTTAGAAAGGGTGCACGAAAGTCAAAAGTTTGGGAAACCCTAAGCTATCTCAAAACATGTGCCGTTTCAAAGAATTGACTTCTGTAATCTCCCTTCCTCCCGAAAAGAGAAGTTCGGTGTCAAAATCCAAGTTCATAACAATCAAATCACTATCATAAATATACTATTTACAGAAGGCAATATGTGATTTTAATTAAAATGCACTTTTTGTGCCATCGAGCATGTTAATTATTTATTATAATTCTATGAAAGAAATTTAAAAAAAATAGAGCTATACTGATGATCTACAACACATTATTAGTTTTTCCTGAATAAATTTATCATATACGGCTGTAAGCTGAAACAGTCACGTACTCAAGTTGTAGTCTAAGCTAGGATTAATAATAAGATTCAATAATTGTGCAGTATTTCAACAAATCCTTTGTTAAAACTTTTAGAATTCTCAAAATTTAAGGAGAACGAAATTTTATACGTTTTGCGAAGAATTAGTGAACCTCAGAAACCGAAGCCAAAAGATATTACCCGATTTAAAACTTCATTGGCTTCAGAAATAAACAAATATGAAATAACAGTGGACATGTTTGAAGAGTCTACAAAACTAGCCGCCCATTTTCAAAACTTGTCAGACGTGCAGACATTTACGTGTGGCAAGTCTTCCGAAAAATGTTGCTAATGGATTGAAATATTTAGGGAGTTTTTATATTTCTGACAAAAATATAATCTCTATTATATGATCGAAACTAAGAGAGTTAAAAATTCTTCCCTAACTAAACAAGAAAAAAAAAGCTCTTATGAATATTTTCATTTCCAGGGAAAGAATATAGCACACGTGACATGCTTCGATGACGTGCGAAAGAGCTTCGATGAGCATTTTATTTCGATAGGGATTTAGATGAGTGAATTTAAATGAAATATATATATTTTTTAATAAATTTATTTATGAAATAAATTTAATTGTAAGGTATAATAATTTTTATTTATTCAGAATTTTCATATTTTTTTTAAACCTAAATTTAGATATTCATGCCACTTGATCAATAAAAAATAACGGGATATTTCTGACCATGATCTGTCACGCCAACTACAATCGCTAAGGTGCCAACTAGATTTTAAACTTGCTAATTCTTCTTTTCTTTTAAAAAAAATAATTAAAAAAAAACATTGATGCTTGCCCGGGGGTGGTTACGAGTTATACCTTTAGAGTTGGCCCCTTTTGTGATGCCTTTTTTTTTGTTTGTTTCTTGCAGGCCGCTGCCCGGAAGTTGCTCAGACTTAGCGATCATTCTGCCACAGATCAAGACAGGGGTGAAAGCGAGACGGAAAAGAGGAAAGGCTGGTAGTAAAACCATTTCAGTTATAGCTAGTTTTGGGGAGGAGTTTACTTATTCTTTTTTTAAATTTTTCAACAATATCTACTTTATCTTGCACAAGAAGCAGTTTTATATATATGCCAGAATTACAAAAGAAATTTTGATAGTTACAGACATTTCATTTTTTTCGAAAAAAATTTGGAATGAAATGTTTTACGTACCAGGTTTTTCTCTTTTCCGTCTTGCTATATAAGGGCTTTCACCCATGGATCAAGATACACCGCCTGGAATATGGTCAGGGCCCTTAAATCTACAAGAGCCACAAATATGCCCCTCCAAGGGCCAAACGGCAAAACCTACTCCGACATAGATAAAAGTGAGATATTCGCGGACACCATGGAAAAGCAATTTTCAATTAATAGTGAACCCAGGGATATCTCTTCCGAATCAAATATTCATAGTACATATAGCGAGTACATTAGGACAAACACTCCACTCAATGAAAATGAGCCTATCACTACTGAAGAGCTTTATAATATTATCGATAAATTCCAAAACAATAAAGCACCAGGGATCGACAACATCAATAATGTTATGATAAAATACCTCCCTCCAAATATTATAGATCAACTAAAAAATATTCTAAACTCATGCCTGAAAAGATGCTATTTCCCACAACAATGGAAGCATGCACAGATTGTGCTTTTTCCCAAACAGGGCAAAAATCTGCTAAACCCAGAGAGCTACAGGCCCATCAGTTTACTAAAGGCCTTTTCAAAAATATTCGAAAGAACAATACTGAACAGACTCAAACCCCACCTAGACTTCCTACCAAAAGAACAGTTTGGCTTCAGAGAAAACCTATCAACTACGAAACAATTGGTTCGCATCGTAGAAGAGGTTTCCAAAAGCTTTTATAAAAACGAGACTACTGCGATCCTGATGTTGGACGTGGCCAAAGCTTTTGACCGCTTCTGGCACCAGGGCCTCATTTTCAAACTTATCAAATATAAAATCCCAAACGACCTTATCCTACTGATCAACTGCTACCTAAATAACAGAACATTTCATATCAAAGTGAATGATTCCTTATCATCAGCCAGATCGATCCAAGCAGGTGTACCCCAAGGCTCCATTCTTGGCCCCACACTTTATTTGATCTACTCAGCAGACTTCCCAAATTTCAACGATAAGGCCAATATATGCACTGCGTATTACGCAGACGATACGGCAATTCTGAGTAAATCAATAAACCCAAATAATGCTATTAAGAATTTAAGGCATATCATACCCTACATCGAGGAATGGTGCGCCAAATGGAAGATCTCAATAAATGCAAGCAAATCCTCCCTCCTCATCATGAGGAAGCAAGATAAGAAAAATTTGAAAAATAGCCTCCTCCTACTTTTTAATGAAGTTATCCCAGTAGTCAAAAAAGCCACCTACCTAGGGATCACATTAACCTCCAACATG